AAGATCCTTGATCCATTTTGAGTTAATATTGGTATAGGGTGATATACATGGATCTAGTTTCAGTTTTTTGAGACTGCCTAACCAGTTTTCCCAGCAGTTTTGTTGAAGAGGCTGCTTTTCTCCATTGTATATTTTTAAGCTCCTTTGTCAAAAGACAAGTTGCGTTATAGTTGTGTGGCTTCCTATCTGGATCTGTACTTCTGTTCCACTGGTCTTCATGTCTGTTTTTGGTGCATTGTTACATGTTGTTTTTAAATTGTTATTGCTTGTATATAGTTTGAGTTGGGTATACCGTGATACTCAGCATTGTTCTTTTCGACTGAGTATTGCTTGGGATATTCCCGTGGACTCTTGTGTTATAATAAATTTAACAGCAGATTTTTTCAATCTTCTTTAATGAATGTCATTGGAATTTAATGGGAATTACATTAATACGTGTAGATTATCTTTGGGGCAGTAACGGACATTTTTTTACTATGGTTGACTCTACAATCCATGGAGCATGGGAGATTCTCCATTTTCCTATAGTCTTCTCAATCTCTTTCTTCAGAAGTTTTATAGTTTTCCTTGGTAGAGGTCGTTCGCGATCCTTTGTTAGGTTTAACACCTAGGTATTTGATTTTTTTGTTGAGGCCTAATTGTAAGATGGCATTGTTTTCATATATCCTTTTCAGTTTGAATATTGGTAATTTTAAAGATGGCAGAAATGAGAAATAACAAAAGTTTGTAGATATAGAGGAAAGCTCCAAAAAAAGTTTCAACAAAAGACAAGGAGAATAGGGGTAAGAATACAAATGGATGTGAATACTGCAGGTCCAGCATCCTGAATAGTGGGATGACAGACTAAAACTGAAAAGAAAAAGAAGAGGAGAAAATCACGTAAAGAGAATTTCAAAAATTTCATAAAATGAAAGTGTCCATATGGTAGTTGAAAATACCTCTAAGGTAAAATCTCAGAATATTGGGGATAAGAGCGGCTCAGGAAATAAACAGATTTCATACAAAACAAGGATAAAATCTGGAAAGATTTATGAGAAAACAAAGAATGGGGTCAAAGCAAACTGGGAATCTAACGAAAGAAGAAAGGATTAACGCCAACATTAAAGATGTTTCATTTATTACTGTGAGTTTGGCGATCGCAAGAAGAGCTCAGGGGCAGCATCTGTTCTGGCCTGTCATGTGTAATGTGTCAGGTAGCGCATGCGGTTTAACTCCTCTGTGAAAGAATAGCCTGAGGAAATAATAATCTTTGTTTTTTTGAGATTTTTGCACAACTGAAAAACATGTTAGGCATAAGGATCTGATGTGCTTATCTAGCTTCCCACTGTGGATAGTGCCGCACCAGTCTGGAACACCAATATAAGCCACCCTGACACATCAGCTTCCTGGAAAGATGGGCTACAAGA